AGCCGTTTGGCTAGTTGGAGTTTTTGGGCTGATTGTGCTTCCCGTCGCCCACACTAAAGTGGTAAATCCTTTCCAGGAAGACCGTTAGTTTAATTTTCAGCATTATTACAGATTTCACTGCAACTTTTGAACATTTTTGTCGCCACTGCGCTCTCCTTTAGTCAGCCTATCGGCATGGACCTTACGCTGCTCTTCTTCCCAGGCGATAATCCGTCGCAGGTCCCACTGCTTTTGTCAAATGTCGCTACCTTCTCCTACCTATCTTCTGCAAAAGCCTTGACTTCAGCGAGAACTTCCTTGGCAAAGTCCTTCCACATCTTCTTGGGACTCTATGTGGTCTCTTTCTTGAGAGAGAGGAGTCCGCTGCTCTTCGAGCCTCATTTGCTTGTGGCCGCTCGATCGGATCTTCTGCTGTGGGGCCTTAAACAGAACAGGAGCCTGCTGCATGACCACACTGGCGTCTTTTCTTCAGACTCACCCGGCTACCACCAGAGCGTAGGCCCATCTCAGCATCTTCATTTCACCAGGTGGAGCCACCTTTGTGGCCCAGGTACCGGCGCTCGCTGCCATTGAGCATCATGAGCCTCACCTCTGACCTAATTATCTTGCAGTTGACCATCGTGGATTACCACCAACCACTGAGGATGGCACAAAAATTCTGCATTAACTTGTCGGAAAACTCCCCTTTTCCCTCAAACTGCCTTTTTTCAGGCCTTTACTACCTGGTCCATGCCGCTGTCAACCACTACAAGAGAATTCCCGTTCAGGATCCTGCTGGACTCCTCCTATTCAGAAGGACTGTTAAGAGAGAGAGAGAGAAAGAAGAGGAGAGAGAGAGAGAAAGAGAGGAAGAGAAAGAAAGAGAGAGAGAACGCCGATCCACGACCTTTGCCCTTATTCAGATCACACCTATGTAACTGTAGAAGCCGGAGCCACAACCCCCTGCCCCATGGTGGCCACCTTCTCCTCTCGTTGCAACTTCTGCGCGCTGTTTTGCCTTGCGAGGCGGGCAATTTTGCACTTATGCGCTAGCTTCCCTTTGGCTGAGTTCATGTTATTAAGCAAGTTTTTTTTTCTAAATACTGTATAAACTGTTGTGAAGCGGGACCAGGAGTAGCTTGGTCGTGTATTGAGTCCTTGAGAGAGGATGGCCTGTACGGGCTTCGTTAACATTCGCAATTTTGCGCGACGCCACCGCCAGCCGAACAGCGCCACTTCTGACCACATTGAGAAGACAGCTCTCAAAATTCCTTTGGCCACTCACCGCTACAGTGGCATTAATATTGAACGAATGGAGGGCTTCATGGGACGTCTACATCCGGTGCAATGTAATCATTACAAGCCTCTGTGTCATAAGGTTCGTTAGCAGTAGGGCAACCACAGCACAGCCGAGGGCTAGTTGGAAAAAAAGCTAGTCCGAGGCTGATTGGTAATTGATGGCACTGAATGAGTAATTTCAGTTCATGAAATGTTTTGGAAATTGCGAAGATTTTTTCATTCCTGCCAGTGACTTGAACGAAGTAAACCAAGAAGACCTCACCGATGAGCAGAAGGAAAGAGCAAAAACTATCAAGGTTTCTGAATTACTCTTTAGAAGGATTGAACCCTGCACGTGAAGGTGGCGATGTGGCCCTTCAGTCACACTGTGGCAAAGTGACTGAAGGGGCCGCATCGTCATTCAACCACCGTGCTGACTTCGCCGAGGGGTCAGTTGGAGGGAGCTTCCACTTATGTTTTCTGTTCGAAGCAGAGTTCACAATTATTGCAATCAGGCATGCTACTGCGTCTGTCTTGACAGGGTCAGAAAAGGAGATGACAGGACGGCACGCCTGACTCCGTCCATCCCAACAGCGTGGACTGTCCCCTCAATAGCAATTACAGTCATTGCTGCTGCAAACGAGATAGTGTGTGAATGAGCGTGGATATCAGGGCAGCCAGGGCAGCTGTGTGAATGGGCGTGGATATCACAGGGCAGCCTTTCCCATCAATTTCACAGAACAGGATCACGATGACCTCAATGGCCGAAAAATTTTTCAGTCTTATGAGTAGAACAATATTTCTTTTCAGACAAATCCATGTGTCGCCATGTTCGCCTACTGTTTATCTGTTGATTACTTTCAACTAGCTGCAGTCCTCGACCTCACGACACCAGACGCTTTTTGAAAAGCAATGACATCTGATTATGAGAGCTTCATGAAACCATTCCATTAATATTCTTAGAAACTTGTCGGTTTCAAATGAAAATTACTTTTGGGAAAGTTTTCGATGCAGACTTATTAGAATTTAGCAAATTCATGTAGTCAACAGCAAGTGTTTCACTTCCTGCAAGAGGCGTCTCTTTAAGAAAGAGGCGATTCTTGAAATAATAGGGAAGTGTGGTCCACATAACTTGAAGAAAGCAAGAGCATGCCACCGGTGGTCCCTTTGTCGCTGCCTTAGACACTGTTCACAGTCTCCTGTTGGTTCAGCAGAATACGTGAAACGAGCTATGTAGGTCCCGACCAGTTAACTCATACTATGCGATTCAATTCTCGCACTTTGCGAACCTGTGTGTGACACAAAGTGCACATAAACTTGAAATAACTCTAGTAGTTCGATCAATCGAGTAATGACTGTAATATTCTGTCAAAAGGTCAACTAACAGAGAACTACCCTTCGCCCATTGCGCCAGTCTACACTTTGGAATCACTGTTTTCCTTTTTTCAGAAATGATTCACTTACTTCTTTCTATTCTTTCTACCCCTTTAAAAAATCAGTTTCAAGCTCCACGTCAAGTTTCACGAAGTCCTTGCTTAGGAACTTTATTCTAGTCAGCCCATTGTTCATGTTGACTTGATTTCACGATAAGCTCACCTATCATTTAACTTGTTTACGTATTTGTTTTCTTCACGCAAAGGCGTAGATAGCACAATGCTTCCTTTTGCGAACACGATCTCTTGACTTAGCCATAACTACCATCTGCATGGGGCCCAATCATTTGGTCGAGAAGCCACAGCATTTGCTCTGACGTTGCGCCTGTATGAGCAGGATGCTATAGCTGTGAAGACTGGTCGAGATATGCTTGACGAGTTTGAAGACGAACCCCGCAATTGCGTATTATGGGTAGTGGCGATCAACCTATAGTTGAAACTGTAGTCGCTAAGTGACTTTCCAGGAAAGAAAAAAAGCAAAAATGATCATGGAGAACACCCTAACTGAGGAGCTGGCAGCTTCAGTGGACGAGTTCGCTGACCTGCTCGTTTTATGCCGACGGAGCGATATCCTGCCGCCTCTGCCTCACTTATCTTTTCTTTGCGTCATCCAGTGCTAATACAATTCAGCAACGGGGAAAAAACGAAAGCACTGAGAAAAAACTGCACTCGTGCCGGAAAATAGCCTTTGACTTCTAGTGGGCGGGGTAAATGTGTTAACGGTGGCTCAGTGATAATACGCTTCAAACTGGTAAATTAAGACTTATAGCTGTGTAACCAAATGACAAGCACTTACACATAAAGGCATACAATACTACTACGATTGTATTATGAATACTAATGAATATGAATGAATACTGTAATTATCGATATTACAATCAAGTGAGTATGGAAAGTACAATACAATGTATAGCGAATAATGCAATGAACAAGACAGTGAGACAAAGTGAGAAACCTAGTATAAATGAGAGAGTTAGAATAAGAAATGCTGTTAAGATAAAGTGAGAATGCTCTCCTAATGCTGATATGCTCTGAAAGCCACCCATGACTCTGAGACGTCGCATGGCTCCGAGGAAAAGAGAAGAAAAATGCCTGTGGCTCCCACGCCCCTCCCTTTATACCGGTTATCTATGCTCTGATCTAGTGAGGAACGCGTGAGAAGCGTCCTACAGACATAAACATCCTCACTGTACGATTGCAACCCTGCCTCACTGTATGCTCTGGTCACCTCAGTGACACTGACTAGGGAGGCGTCAGAACTGCCACTTATGGAGGCGGCATCGCCTTCGTCAGTGTTTGTGAAGCCGTGAAAGGAGGGCAGTTGCAGAGAAATTGTACAAGAAAGGAATCCAAGAGCTGTTGAGGGTGGGCTGTCTTCAGTGATGACAAATTTCACCTGTACGAGACGCCCCACTGTAACGGGTCTTTTGATGGGATAGTGAGCTTATGGTGTAATGGAAAAAGCTATAGAAGGACAGAGCGGTCGGCAAACGCTTCCCGTAACCCAAGATGAAAGGGCCCCATAGGCAAGACTAAGTCATCCTGCTCTGACATCACAACACCAAGATCCTCCCTCGGAGAACTCGACGGGAAGTTAGTGCAGCCCACACGATACTCCTTATTGTCAGACCTTGTGCCAGCAGAACCCTTTCCGCTCACCTCCAAATCGAATCAACCGCCTTATCTTCAGCGAGAACCTCGAGAGCTGACTCACATCACCAACTTCTTCGAACCCGGCCCGACAACTGGGGAAATACTGCCAAAAATTAATTAACAGGAGAGAGCAAAACGTAGGCAATACTTTGTTTATTAATTTATTGTGGTAATTGTAATTGTGAAAAATCAAAATTTTGATGACGGCAAAAACGGGACTTTATTACCCAATACGATAGTTTATTCTAGAGACGCGTTGTCGCGTCTCTAGGACCTTACAAATAATTGCCTTTTGTTTATATGAAACCCAGGAAAATAGAGTAATATAGCATAGGTTTCACTGCAACCTTGATATAGATCGTGCCTTGCTGAAATTCGATTGAACGTATTTCGAAAACCTTTTTTGAGCCACACCTTGACTAGATGCCGTTTCTGGCTTTTCTTAATCGTGTATTATGAAACCCTCTCATCGTGTAATCCATATCAAAACGATTTGTATCGCCAAAGCTGGTTTGGATACGACAAAAATTTCTGATGAATGTTCCAGAACACCACTGTGTTTTGAATGAATGCTCGGCTGAACGTGGTGACATTTTTTCACGAGAAGCGATTTTTCATACGGACTAGCTCATTCCATGCGTACACGACACTTTCAATCGATGTATGCTGTCGCTTCGATTGTTCACTTTCCCCCATACTAGATGTACTTTATATACTGCCATTCCAACTGCTCTTAATGATACGCGACTTTCAACCAGGGACTAATTAGACGTTGAACTCAAAAGAGATCGGAAAATCAGAAAGAATCTACGGTCACGAGATAGTTGGCTTGACTTTGTCCTTTCATTCATAGTATGATAGCTGGTTGTCATGGGGACCGCATCTGTGCTTCGAAAGACGTCACAAGAATGCTGTGTCGAGTGGGCGAGGTCAGATCCAGATGGGACTTGAATCCAGCATCTCCGTCTTAGCCGGTGTGCCGTGGACGATGTTCCCGCCTGACCTCTTACCTCCTCGCGAGGGCCGCGCATCGCGTTAGCCCGATCCATTTTCTGGCGGCTTACGCCACCCCTCATTCCATACTAAAATAGACTCCCTTTTGAGTTGGTACGACTCCTCCGAGCCTCTGTCGCTTTCCTCATCGAAGCGAGCCGTCGAACGAGGGGGGCGGGAGGCGCTTTGGGCAGAAGTTGGACCCGGTTGATGCGAATTTTCAAGCGTGTCGAGGAATAGTAATTTGAGTGGCCAATGAGTGCCTAAATACGACCCCCGCGCCCCCCTTTACAGCGTCCGTGAACAATGAGAAATCACACTATTTTCAAAAAAATTGTTCTATGACAAATAAGCCCCCCCCTCCTCCGCGACCAAATACGACCCCCGCCCTCCCTCGCGATCAAATACGACCCCTCCCCCTTGTGATGATCACAACGATGGCGTTCCCTGCCCTCAGCTCGATGGCTTTTCTGCCCTAGCCTTACGAAGCCGTGAAGCTGAGAGGGATGAGCGGCTCAGCGTAATAGGTAGTGCAACCGCCCGGTAAGCGGGAGATGAGCGTTCGATTCCCGTCTGGGGTCTGACTTTTGCCCGTAACTCAATTTTTAGTGATAAAATACTATTTGTTGAAAATGGCATGGTAGAACCTAGCGAGGTGCACTAATATCTCCTTGGATAACTGGATGCGTTGTTGATACCGTCGCAACTAACCAGGGCGGTATCAGGAGGGATGAGATGAGCCTTGCCCCGTCTGCATTCCTACCAAGAATGATTGGTTAGTGATCGACTCAAGAAGAAAACATTCAGTAGTACACAACCCCGCGGGTGGTGTCATTTCATGCTTTCTAGCACCATCTTCACCAAGTGCGACGACCTTAGTTGTAGAAGAGTATGGGTCTCGGAATCGAAGAGCAAATATGGAGACTCAACGAAAGAAAAGA